CCCCAGAGCTGCGGCGCGTAGGGCTCCCTGAACCTGCAAATGCCCCGGCGCCTAGTACCCTTGCCCCAGTCAAAGGGAAGTCGCCAAGGATTGAACCCTGCGAAAAATCCCCACCAATGGGTCACCTCCCCACCCCAACCCCCAACAGCCGGGAAAACATTCAAATTTATATCTTCTCTTTCCAACCAGCTACCCGGCAGGTAGGTGAAAAGCGCGCTTGTGGACGTACCACCCAACTTTATTTCAAGGCTCTAGCTTTTCCTTCAATTTGTCTATTGCTTAGATGGGTCGGCTCTTGCAATAAATAGACAGTTACAATGTAACTGATAACTTTAAAAAAGATTTTTTTTATTTTAAGCACTGCTCTGCTCTCGAACTCGATGCCATTGGCGGATGACTTGTATGTAATTATGTTATTTTACACGCAAGTAGTTATCAGTATTATGGACGGGTTAGGTTTGTATAATTTATCAGTCGGCAAAAGCGATTAGGATAGATGGAATTTTTCGTCACCTTATAAGGCAACTGTTCGTACGATAGGGTCAGATAAAAGTTCGATTGAACTCATGTACGAAAAACTTCTGACGGGGTGAGATCTCTTTAGAATGATAGAGTTTTTAATCTGACGTTATACAAGGAACATAATTAAAGAATTTAATTTCCCTAGGAAGTAGCGTTGAAAAAAGAAAATTAAATTGCCATCTGAGCGAAATCGTGTGCCTCGGCATGTTTAAAGGTAGCAAGCCAAATTATTATTTTAGATACAGCACTTATTGTCTGACCAAACGTATTTCAAATGTTGAGTTAATTATTGCAAACTGAAAGCACATAATATATAAAGGTCATTTTTACGCATATTTTTAAATAAATTGATCCCATTTTAATGATTTCTTGCGAAATTGTGGAGCGAAATGACTCTCTTGAAACGTGCGAACAATTACTGAAGAATCTCCGCCAGTATACAGATGTTCTAAACGAACACGGAGTCAGCGGTTGCCCAGGTTACGAATTGTTTTGAAAATCCAAGAAATATATTTTGACTTTCAAGTAATGGGGAAAATTCCAACCTTTTGTTTTGGTTTCCCATCCGCGTAATTTCCCGGCTGTTCAAGATAAAACGAAATTTTAACATGTTTTTCGGCAATGTTTTCATCGATTTTTGCCCATCTTCCGACCGAGTGCTTCATGGGGGTGAAAAGAAAAGAGGAAAAAATGCGGATAATTTTTTTGCGGTAGTTAAATTATTCTTGAATTATTTATCGGTCACAGCACAATGTTGTCTTGGTACTGCCGGTTATCTGAATAATTTATACTAAAAGCTTTATTCATTAACAATGAGCTTGGCTCTTTAAAACTCTGTTGCATCGGTCTCTAAATTGGTTCATGGACTGCATAGGGTTTTAATAAAATTTCAGCGTCTATATCTCAATGATACAATTTCAAATGCTTTATTTTTGCGTTAAGTGTTTACGAATATGGTAACGTTGTGAAAAATATCTCATTTTTCACTGGTTTTCTACCGAAACGGAGTGAAGTGTGAGATAAATTGAAATCATGAGTATTTTACGTGCTCGTTTCACGTAATTGAGATAACGAAGGCACTTGCTTCAGATTGTTTCCTGTAAATGAACAGGTAAACGTCAATGAAATGTTAAAAGTAATCACATTTTTGTAGCTATATTGTTACGATGTTGCGAAGTTCAGAAGTTTCCGGCAATATCCAGACGTTTTGACGTCATCACAATATTACCCGCCAAAAAGCGTAATTTAAAAGAAGCAATCTGATTGGTCGAAGCGCAAACGAGGAATCCCACAATGCTGCATTCGTAAACGAATCCACTTGGCGGCCATTTTGTATTGGAAAGGCGACTGCAAATATCTAATGAGATTCATATTCGAGTGAAATCGGTCAAGCAGCGAAGCGCATTTACCTGTCCTGTCCATTTCGCTGGTATTGAAAGTCTTCAACAATGGCTTCAACGCACCGAGTTAGCTGATCGATCGGCGGAAATATTAGCATTTTATGGCTTGAAGCTAGAACGACATTTTGACACAAGCGAGTTTTTACGTCCACGCAATTTTCTTGGATACGCGATGACAGTTTTCCTCTAGCTTTCACCGGCGAGAAATCGAATATGAATGAACTAGTCTACCGCTGTCTTGCATGGTTATGTAGCAGATCGGCCTTCNTGTGCCTCGGCATGTTTAAAGGTAGCAAGCCAAATTATTATTTTAGATACAGCACTTATTGTCTGACCAAACGTATTTCAAATGTTGAGTTAATTATTGCAAACTGAAAGCACATAATATATAAAGGTCATTTTTACGCATATTTTTAAATAAATTGATCCCATTTTAATGATTTCTTGCGAAATTGTGGAGCGAAATGACTCTCTTGAAACGTGCGAACAATTACTGAAGAATCTCCGCCAGTATACAGATGTTCTAAACGAACACGGAGTCAGCGGTTGCCCAGGTTACGAATTGTTTTGAAAATCCAAGAAATATATTTTGACTTTCAAGTAATGGGGAAAATTCCAACCTTTTGTTTTGGTTTCCCATCCGCGTAATTTCCCGGCTGTTCAAGATAAAACGAAATTTTAACATGTTTTTCGGCAATGTTTTCATCGATTTTTGCCCATCTTCCGACCGAGTGCTTCATGGGGGTGAAAAGAAAAGAGGAAAAAATGCGGATAATTTTTTTGCGGTAGTTAAATTATTCTTGAATTATTTATCGGTCACAGCACAATGTTGTCTTGGTACTGCCGGTTATCTGAATAATTTATACTAAAAGCTTTATTCATTAACAATGAGCTTGGCTCTTTAAAACTCTGTTGCATCGGTCTCTAAATTGGTTCATGGACTGCATAGGGTTTTAATAAAATTTCAGCGTCTATATCTCAATGATACAATTTCAAATGCTTTATTTTTGCGTTAAGTGTTTACGAATATGGTAACGTTGTGAAAAATATCTCATTTTTCACTGGTTTTCTACCGAAACGGAGTGAAGTGTGAGATAAATTGAAATCATGAGTATTTTACGTGCTCGTTTCACGTAATTGAGATAACGAAGGCACTTGCTTCAGATTGTTTCCTGTAAATGAACAGGTAAACGTCAATGAAATGTTAAAAGTAATCACATTTTTGTAGCTATATTGTTACGATGTTGCGAAGTTCAGAAGTTTCCGGCAATATCCAGACGTTTTGACGTCATCACAATATTACCCGCCAAAAAGCGTAATTTAAAAGAAGCAATCTGATTGGTCGAAGCGCAAACGAGGAATCCCACAATGCTGCATTCGTAAACGAATCCACTTGGCGGCCATTTTGTATTGGAAAGGCGACTGCAAATATCTAATGAGATTCATATTCGAGTGAAATCGGTCAAGCAGCGAAGCGCATTTACCTGTCCTGTCCATTTCGCTGGTATTGAAAGTCTTCAACAATGGCTTCAACGCACCGAGTTAGCTGATCGATCGGCGGAAATATTAGCATTTTATGGCTTGAAGCTAGAACGACATTTTGACACAAGCGAGTTTTTACGTCCACGCAATTTTCTTGGATACGCGATGACAGTTTTCCTCTAGCTTTCACCGGCGAGAAATCGAATATGAATGAACTAGTCTACCGCTGTCTTGCATGGTTATGTAGCAGATCGGCCTTCGTTCTTGGAAAATTGTATTTATAGCCAACTATTCAAGAACATGGAGGACGAAACGTCGGTTCGCGTGGCTCTAAGGTGAGAATTTTACATTGAAAAAATGGTTGAAGAAAATTTCTCGAAATGCATCAACAGTTTATTACTAGATCAAATGATGTGGACACCCTGCCAAGCGTTCTGTAGCGTGGTTGTTTATTCATTCGTGCCTTTTTATGTGTTCTTGTTGGCAGGATTCGTCCTCAAAGCGCTGCCGAGCGAATTGATATGTGTCGAGTTTGTACTTGTGTTACCCCTGGACATCCTCAAGTCGTACTTGGAAAAGACAAAGCCTTCACGTTCGATCATGTGTTTGATATGGAAAGCAAACAGTTTGTGATCTATGAGCAGTGTCTCAGAGGACTCGTTGAAGGGTGAGTTAACTAAAACTTCGTTTTAAGAATTTTTATTTATTTCGTCGCCTTCAGTAATGTCTGCCATCTGCGGTTGTCATTGTACATTCAAACCCCGGCCGATATGACATCTACGAGTGCCAAAATCTGTAGTCATCGCGTATAAAAACAGCCTAAATATGTTTTCGTGATTGCTGAAACGAGTTAAGCTAAGCATTGTTTTTGTTCATTGCAGATGTCTAGATGGCTACAATGCGACAGTTCTGGCTTATGGTCAGGTAAAATTAATGGCTTGCACCTTAGTTCGGCGAAATAGAAATTTGCATGTGCTTTAATGAACATACAAACCCTTGTTCCATGCTGTTGCCCTGGCATTTGAACACAAAGTGGTTTAAATGAAAATGGTTTCCGGTGGTAACTCTTTTTTTAAATCCAAGCCTTTAAATGTGTTTACTTACCACGGTACTTTTGTTTTTTTATTTTCCATGGAAAACCGATATCTCGATAGCTTCTGTTGTGTACTCAAAACAGTGTTGCTGGAATAATATCAAGAGACAGATTTATAGCTATGCTTTTATGCGCTGATCGTAAAATTGTGTTTTGTGCAAGAAATTTCCATGCAATCTGCCTGTATTTATTGTGATTATTGTACATTCTGTGCGTCTGAGCTTTTAATCAACCACCTATCTCTAAGCTTGCCTATTTTTATCTCTCTGTAATCGAAGAATAATATTGATCGTATTAGGTTTTGACGAGTCGACATCAACACGAAACTTCACAAGTAACGATTATCCGCTACTTGCCCTGCCGAGAAAAATCAATTTTCGTTCGGTTTATTTTTTCCGTGAATTAGAAATTAAATATAATTACAAAAGCGAGGTATCTTAATATGCTTACCACAAGATTTCTGCATCAAGATGAACGATCTTAAAAATATTATTGGATACATTTGTTGAGCTGTGTTTTATATTAGACATTGATATTTCGATTGACAATTCGTTGAAGGAATTACTTTTTAGAACAGCCGAGCATGTGTGAAATCTTATGGAAATTTTTGTTCCAGTTTGGCTGGTAATTTTTTTTTGCCATAATTTCTGTTTTGTTATATTTGCAATGTTAATTTATTGCAACTACCCTAATTAATCTGTTACTGTTCTCGGAATCACACACTTCATGGTGAAATTTCTCCTAATACTAGCCGCAGCATATCACACTTGGCGTAATATCAGTGAGAGTGTATTTTTGGTTGAAAATTGATACTAGAACATGTCAAGAGAGTCTTTAAAATAGCTATTTACATGTTATTAAACCAGTGCTAAAACACGTTTCTTTCTGCCATCACGCAATGAACAGAGATCATGAAACAACAGAGCAGTAATATTGTGTTCCCTTCTCAGTTACAGTCCATCTATGTTTCCTGGGCCCTCGTCTACAGGAAATCCTTTTGTAGTTATAAATTTCTCATGTAATTGTTTATGTAGCTATTTTTAGGTCAAATACTGAATGAAAAATGCATAATATTGATCATTTTCCCTGTCATGTTTTTCTAGAGTTTTTTTGAAAGGAATTTGAAAATTACATGCAACTTGGAAACCCACATACTTTTAAATGTGTATTTTTAAATTAAATCACCTTTAAAGTGGTTTTTTGCTTGGTTTCACTTGTGTTACACAAAAATTGCTAATTTGCATAACAAATTAACAGGCTGCAAGAAAAAACAATTTAAATTGGAAACCACTTTTTGTGAAATGCATTTGGTAAGTTGAAATTGCCTTACAATGATTTGAAATTTTCGTTATGGTTTAGAAACAAAATTTTGGCATTGTCAAATGTCCATGCAAGTTAAGAATTACATGTGATTTGTACCATAACCTCTAATTTTGTGGAATTTTATGGAAATTTGTTTCTTTGGGCCGTGTTGACTCAAGTTAATTGTGCAGAAAATTAGTCATGACTTACTCATGCCTGTTCTGCCAAGTCAAAGACATAAAGCTTGTAAATATCTTTATAGTTAGGACATGTGTAATTGTTGTGCTCACACACCTATTGGCTCAGTGTCATGAATTTCTGGTGTAAAATGTAACATTTTATAGCATTTCCACGTGAACATTTATTTGTATTGTAATAGATGAATGGCTCTTAAGACTTATATGTGTCAAATTTATCGTGGTAACACTCATGGCCAGTAATGTTGTCACTGGGTCGTTAAAAATAGCTATTTCACCAATTTTCATTCTTAATTTTTGTATACTATATGGAGAAAATTGAGGCACAGATATGATAATAACCACTTGGTAGTTGAGCACAAGGAATATACTGGGGAATACTGGCCCGAGGTTGTGGCAGTATAGACTGAGCTCAGCAAGGTCCATACAAAAATTACCAAGGGCCAGTATTCTTCACTATGGCTTGAAATAAACTAGGTTAGTAAATAGTTTATTATATGGCAAAAAAAGTTCATGGCTTATGGCTGTTTCCATGGAAATAGTTCATATGGCATGATCCCCACCAAAATAAGACCAATCAGAATGCTCGGATTTACCTCAATACTACCTTGCCATGTAATAATTATTTATTTTTAATGCTCAATACTGTACCTTGCATTTGAATGGTAAGCCTTTTTATTATATGGCTAGCTACGTGAGCGGGCAAGATGAATCAAATCCTGCACTGGGATTGGCTACCCGAGTGGGCAAGATGGAGCTATCTTGCTCATTCGGAACTACCCACCGTGTCTCACAAGAAAAATTTCTCCAAAAGCCACATAAATCCTTTATTGACCAAGCTTGTTTGGTCAAGATGGCTGGATATTGGCCTTGTTCTTTTTTTGTGAGTTTATGGACCTCGACTCTGTCTCGGTCCATAAACACGCAAAAAAAGAACTTGGCCAATATCCAGCCATCTTGACCTCGCACTTGGTCAATAACCCATACAGGTTCACCCAAGTTAGGACTCAAACATTTTCAACCAAAAAATAATATAAAAAGAGAAATCATTCTTCTGTAGCCATCTGTGAAGTTATACATGCAAGTGTAGTTGCATGGATGGGAAGCGGAAAAAAAATGGCTGCCTGAGAACTAGACTTTGTTTGATTTTTCCAGCTTAAAATCCATGTCTGGTGAGCTCTTTCTCTTTCATACAACCCCAATTTTTTGCCTGCCTTCAAACTGCTCTTTGTTCACCGGAAATCTTAGCTACAATGACCATCCTTGCATAATACAGAATGTATCATATACCTCTGAGATTTAAAAATGTTAATCTTTTAGACCACAATCTGAGACAGATGATAGAACTTCTGTCAGTATTTTGTATTTTACCACAATGAACAAAAGTAACCTTATTCACGGCAATGTTAATCTTGACTTGTAGACGGGATCAGGCAAGACTTACACAATGGGCACTGGCTTTGACATTGCTACGTCACCAGAAGAGGAGGGTATCATTCCCAGAGCAGTAGCACATTTGTTTGAGGGAATAGACCGAAGGAAACATGACGCCAAAGAGAGAAATGAACCACAGCCTGATTTTAAAATCACAGTGCAGTTCATGGAGGTACAGTACATGCTAAAAAAATCACAAATATTTCATTGGGGTTGAACTGCTCTTGAGTAAGAGGAAAAATCAATTTGGTGATAATTCTATTTTACCAATTTAGTACTAAGTTTGATTAGTAATTAGCAACTGGACCTCTTGTCGTACAATTCAAGGAGTAATTAGGTAAGTAATCTCAAAATTGGTTGAGTGCATAGCACGAGGCCGATTTGAAATTACGAGCATATTTACTCCCTGAATTTTGCGAATAATAATTTGTATCAATAACAAAATTTCGAATTTTTTCAGTCTTTTGAGAACCTCTTTTGAGAACCTCTTTTGAGTGAAAAAGTGAGTAGTGCCTCCCATAACTGTAGGAAATACATGTATTATGAAAAAAGCCATTGAAGAGTAAGTAATTGACATACAAATGGCAAAATTATCCAGTTACAGGTATTCAATTACAACTTGACACCCACATAATATTATTGTGTGTTGATTATATGACAAATAGGCGTGCAGAGAACTAATCATGATCAAGAATTTTGTCATGCAGCTGTAGATACGATTAGTAATGGTATACGCTGTAGATATATTCAGAGCAATTTCTATTGAACTGAGTTAATTTACCTGTGTGGTTACTATTTTTCAGCTTTATAATGAAGAACTTATGGATCTGTTTGATTTGGACAATAATAGGGTAAGATATATTGGATGTGAAGGTTATTGTTAATACGGTCGAACCTCCCATAAGCGACCACCCAAAATGTCAAGCCTAGGTGGTCGCTTACGGGAGGCGGTCGCTTACATTATTCAAGAGCTTAGCCAATATTGGGCCAAAATTTTTCCTCATTAGCATATTGTAACCGCAGAGACTTACACTAGGTTTTAAATGTATTATTCATGTGAAAAGCTAATTTCAAGGTTCCAAATATAGTGATTTGTAATATTAGTAATTGGACTGTGTGGAGTACAATTCAGGGAGTAATCGTGCGAGTAATTTCAAAATTGGACAAGCACGATTACACGCACAATTATTACAAGCACAATTACTATCTGAATTGTATGACACGAGGTTCAATTACTAGTTAATCGTATCTATAACAAATTTTGGAATTAAAAATGTCTTTTGAGAACTTCTTTTGAGCAAAAACAGATGTAATGTGTTTCAGAAGTTTTGAAAACTGTAGGAGACATTGAAAAGAGAGCCATTAAAGCGCACGCAATTGACATGCAAATCACATGGGTATCCAATCACAGGACGTGTCCAATATTATTAAAAAAGTTCAAATTGGATACCTTTAATAGGACACCCACATGATCGCTCGCCGATTACGTGGCAAATAGGCACGTAGAGAACCAATCACGATCAAGAATTTTGTTATAGATACGATTAGACTTTGGTACATGTATTTGGGAAAACTGGTCGCTGAGGAGAGGTGGTCACTTACAAAAGCTGGTTGCAACCAGAGGTTTGACTGGAACTACTTTGTTGTACATGTATAATTAAACCTTACAGTTGCCAAGTGAACTTTACTTGTTCCATACTAATAAGATTATATTAATTTTATTTAATTATCTTTCTACTGTGCATGTGTAAGTGTTTTTACCCTGCTGACTTAAAATGCATCAATTACAATTATTATTTTAAAATGATGATGAAAACTGAGGTGTGTGAACCTGGCAGTGGATGATGTGAGCTAGGCCAGACAAAGCCATGTGACCTTACACACTTCAGCCACACGATTGAAAAATCGTTTGCCCAATAAAGGTGGTGTGATTAATAACTTATTTAATAATACAATATTATTGACTGATCATGAGGTACATGTAGGGCAACATGAAACTATATGACTATCAGCCTTAGTATACATGTAGTATGTCATGAACTTTTGTGTACCTGCATCAGTACATGCAGTAAAGCAGTACAGTGCTTATGTCAAAACTGTGAGCTGAGTAGTGACTCGTCTGGGCCCAGTTGTTCAAGGGTGGATAACACTATCCACTGGACAAATCACTATCTGTGGATCATATGTGTTGACAAAACAAACTATGCTATCCACTGAATAATGATTTTATCAGTGGATAGCATTATTACACTCTTTGAACAACTGGAGCCTGACTTTTTAACTTGCAATCCATCGAATAAACTTGCAATGTATGTAGACAGTTGGGTTGTAATATTAGTAATTGTTACAAATGTACAATTATGTTGGCCAGGGTATCTNAAATGTAACTTTTGCTTGTAAGTTCTCCTGGATATAAGCCCATTCTAGTTTAAAGTGAAATGAATTCGATATATTATGGTGTTTTAAAGCTTAATTAAAACCCAGGATATGAAAATCGTATTTCCATCAACATTGCTTTAGCTCATTTCAAAACATTTTTTTTTCTTATTCCACTTATAAGCATTCCTGGTTTTAAGCCCCTCCTGATATAAACCCATCCAAAACCCCTTACAAAGTTGCAGAAGCCCAGGGCTTAAAAGCAGCAGTTTACCATATGTCACTCGGCATCAGGCCAAGTGGTCTATACAGATGGAACTTATCCAACTGGGTGGAGAGAGGCACTGTGAGAGTAAAATGTCTTGCCCAAGAACACAACACAATGCATATGACCCCGGCCAGGGTTTGAATCTAGGTCACTTGATCCAGAGTACAGACTGTATACCTTGGACGGAAATGTCAAAAATGACTTCATATTATGTACATGTTGGTGCTTCTGAGATTTACATGGCTTGAGTTTTCAATGAACACCAATTGAAGTGAATTTTTTTTCTGATACTTGTAACTCGATGTACCTGTAATTCATACTACTGTGAAACTCCAGAAAGCGTGAACACTTTGATTTGATTCTGACAAGTCAATTGTGTACCAACTAATACCAAAGTCCAGGACAGGCGAGCAAACCTCAAAACCACAAACCAATTGGCCTTGCTGTTTGTGGTTTAGTTTTCTCACCCCTAATTGGCTTCTTTCTTGCTACACAATAACATTCTATACATATTTCTGATGTTGACAGTTACGGGTATCTAAGTTTCACAGTAATTACAAATGAAAATTCGAATTAATGGAAATAGTGATAATTTAATAATAAGTAAGCTGTGAGGTACAGACTGAATCTTCTAAAAATCAGCAGTAGACATTTAATACTTTATTCCTCTTTTCCAGACCTTGAACTGTTTGCAACAAGGAGCTCTCTCCCGAACCACTGCCAGCACGAATATGAATGCACAATCATCAAGATCTCACGCTATATTTACTATTCATGTCAAGCAACAACGAGTCGTTAAGGTAAACTTAAAAGAAAAACCAACAAAGTACTATTTTTCCAGGGTTGTTTGGCTTTGGAGATTATTTATACATGTTCAGGTCAGCTTACGTTAATGGTGATTTCTATCTACAGCTGTAGTTTTTCTGTTGATTTGCATGTTGTCTTTTAACTTACATGTAGTATAAAACCCCTTCATCTGTCATTAATTTCACAAATATCGTGATTGTATAATACATGTACATTGTTAACAACTGTCATTTAACATTACAGCTTATTGATGACGATGACAAACGATCCTCGGATGACATTAACAGCTATGAATATGAGATGCTTACAGCCAAATTCAACTTTGTGGATCTTGCTGGGTCTGAGAGACTTAAAAGGACTGGTGCTACAGGTGACCGAGCCAAAGAGGGCATTTCTATCAACTGTGGTTTGGTGAGTAGTAGTAGTAAGGATTTCTCTTCTTATTTCTTTTCTTCATTTTTTTAGAACATTTACAAGACCCATTCAGTGATGATAACTTGAAGTGTTTTACATTAAGTTAGACTGGGGTGGATTTTAGAAAGTGGTGGGGGGCGTGAATTGAGTTGCTAGCCACCCCCCTCTTTTGGAGAGGTACCTCATTGTAATTACAAGTAATTTTTCCCTAGATTAAATAGTTGTGGTATCGCTAGTATTTCTGGTGTAACAGTTTTCAATTAGGTTGCTATTCTCAAATTACAACTGTCACATTTTGGGAGTGTGCCTCATTGATTCTGCAGCCTCAAGGTACCAGCAACTCCCTCTTGAAAAATCCTGGTTCCCTTTAGTTTAGATTTTGATTACTGATGGTCATTGAAATGCTGAAGTTCTGATATCGTATGAAATTAATTGAAAGGTTGTGTACAAATGTACATGTTTAAATTTGTTACTCAGTGACACAAGTGAAAATGTAACTTGTTATCTCTGTAGTTATGACAGTCACTGAGTGATAAAGTGATGCATCTTTTGTGATAATCAGAATGTTGCAACAAACAACTAATACTATTATTGCGATAAAAAAGACAATATGTCAATCAACAATTTCCTTAAATTGGTTTTTGCTTGATTAGCTTGCCCTGGGGAATGTCATTAGTGCTCTTGGAGATACAACAAAGAAGGGAAGCCATGTGCCTTACAGAGATTCCAAACTTACCAGATTGTTACAGGATTCCCTGGGAGGAAACAGGTGAGACAGTGTAACTGAGTAATTTATTAATAATTATTAGTATCCATCATGTAGCAGTCTAAAATTATTTCAACTCAAGTTGAAGTGTGTTTTTTTTTCACTTTTTGCTGGCAATCATGTGCAATGTACATGCACATATATATATATCAAGACAATTGCAATATTGTTACACAGGCTTTCCCCCAATTTTTTTAACTGCATAGTGTATAGTACATACAAGTGTTCTGTTCGTGTGGTTGACTGGGAAATGGATTTTAGAAGGTGTTGTGGAGCCAAATGGCATATCCCCCTTTGGAATAGCCCCTCACCTCTTAGTGGTAGGGGGTTGGGGAGAGGTAGTGACAGCAGTTGCATCATGTATCATTTAATAGATAAATTAACTTGCATTTTATGCTTTGTGATTGTGTATCAGTCTTTTGCATAATAACTATGAAAAGTGTAGCAAAAGCTGAGTCTTTTTAACTGTTGTAGCCGTACACTCATGATAGCTTGTGTATCACCATCTGATCGAGACTTCATGGAAACCCTGAACACACTCAAGTATGCTAACCGTGCCAGAAACATAAAGAACAAGGTAAAATCCTGCTGTAAAGTATAAATTCTTTTTGATTTTGTAGTTAGATCTTGAAGAAATACTTTTAACCTAAATTGTTTATTTAACACTGTATTCCTTCTGCTAAATTTAGTTACTTTGGGGCTACTACTTGATTAGTTCCATAAACTATTTACTAGGTATCCCAAACTCCATGCAATCAACCTTGTATTAATACTATTTGTCTTTCTTTATCTCCTTTTCTCTCTGTCTTTAACACTTTATTTTTTAATTGCAATTGTAAATTATTTCTTTTAATGCTGTTTATCATTTTCTCTATGTAAATTGTATAAATTATATATATATGTATTCAATTTTTTCTCTCTGTCACCTCTGTAAAATTAATGTTTGTGAGAATTTAAATTAGAATTGAATTGAATTGAATTATATTTATTACATTGACAGGAGTATTTTATGGGAACATACACCACTTGTAAAATTCATTCAAAACCACATCGGGGTCCTTATTGTACATCTGTATGTCCGTGACTCTTTAGGATGGTGTGAAGAGTGAGGGTGGTGACAAGTTATCAAACTTCGTCAGTATTAATAATTGTTGTTGTTGTGACTGCCATCTTTCTTTGTTTAATCTTTTTTTGTTATTGTTTCCTTTTTTTAAAGGTGGTTGTGAATCAAGATAAAACCAGTAAACAGATGTCTGCTCTAAGAATTGAAATACAGAAACTAACCATGGAGCTAATGGAGTTTAAACAGGTACATGTAATACAGTAACCGTTGGACCCTGCAAATTCAAACATGGTTATTTTAAATGTCAAATTTTTTCAAATTCAAACGTATTTGCCCTTGAGTTTACCCTTTGGTTTTTCATCATTTGCTACCTTAGAACTTGGTTATTTCAAACTCATTGCTATTTCAAACTGATTTCTGTAAACTTCCCTTAGCCCAAAATCAACCCTGTTAATTTTGAACTAATCACTGACAGAGTCGAAAAATAAACATCATCATGACGTCAGAACATAGTTGGAAAACAACATTGGGCTTTTCATTACACATTGATCTTACACTGTAATGGACTTGGTCCTCAGGTGTTCTCTTCTGACCCTTGGTCAATAAAACAATACATTCTATCATGAGATTGCATATTAATTAGTAATTAATTTGTATTTTGAATTCATATTTATGCTGACCCAGTTATTTAGAACCCCTGCTATCTCAAACTATTTTCATTCTTTTCCTCTCAGAGTTTAAAATAGTAGGGTAAAGTTCAACTGTAAAACAAGAGACAGCATTCTATGACAATTCAATTTAGAGAGAGCACTTAAGATATGACATGCAGCAGTTTTAGCTTATTTTGCTATGTCATCTGCAGGGAAAACGAATATCTGGAGTAGATGGGGATCAAGTTAGTGATGTCTGTCACGAGAATGCAATGCTAAAAACTGAAAATGACAAGTAAGTGCAACTACGATTCAGTTTCAACTCTGGCACTAGTGAAAAATGCAAAATGATCACTGGCCCCCACTGGGGCTCAAACTCAGATGGCTTGGGGTCATACTTGCTTACCATTACATGTAGGTGGCTACAGCCTTATGAGCGAATAGAAAGGTAATTTTAGGGGGTTTGAGCCCTATCTCCCGTTTCCATAGCGTGAAGTGATTATAGGATCCCCCCTCCCCCCCCCCTCCACCTGAATGAGATGCTACTCTAACCCCCAGCAATGAATTGTCCAGTTCCCATTTGTACTCCTGGGTGGAGAACATTGAGAACTTAATGCAATAACCATGATGACCAGGGTTCAGACCTGAACGGCAATGTTGCAGAGTCCACCCACATTAGGCAGTTGGTCACAGCACCTCCTGTGATAGGTCAACAGTATTGCAACAAAGACCTTGCCTTAACTCCCCTATATACGCATGTTAATAGAGTGGGACATGGTTGCTGTACATGTATGTAGAAGTAAAGAACACTAACATCAATAATATGTTTTCTTTCTTTAGGCTTCGTGTACGTATTAAAGCCCTACAACAAACAATTGATACGCAGTCTGTCAGAATAACAGACCTTATCTCATCTCAAGTGCTTGCATCGATGAATGGTAGGTTGAAAAATACCACTTTTGTTGTTTATTTACACTTGTAAGTTTCAACCTTCATGTCTCAGTGTAATGCAGAGTGAGTCCAGTTCTGTTCAAACACTTAACTTGGACCTTTAAGTTTTGTAAGGGATATTTTACATGTAGGTCATGGTCTCAACCATGCATGAACTTAACAGACACTTTGCAAGACTTGAAATGTTGTCCTATGGGAAATATTTGTGATTACGTCATCTCTGTTCAGGCAAATTGCATGGTGTATTCGGTTTCTTTTATTAATATGTAATTTGTTTTGAAGGTGATGTTGATGGGGGAGTGGAAGATCTCATCCAAAAGTATTTAAAAGAAATTGAGGAGCTCAGGTGAGGAATTTGCTTCTTAATAGTTATGTAACTGCCAAAGGCAAAGTGAGCTCATTTTTCAATATTCAGCTAGAAAATTACAACTTAACATTTGCCAATTTCCAGTGTACATAAGGCAAATAGTCCTTAGCTACATATCATAAAAAAGTATCTTTTTATTTTATAATATTGTAATTTTGAGATGACTTGTCAAGATTTACACCATGTAACACTTAAGTCAAGTGAATCAAAGTCAATCAAAAATAAGTAAATTTTTCGCACAAATTTAGTCTGTACAATGAAGTATATGTACTTGTACGGAACGCTAGCCCAGATTCCTCTGAAAATTCAGTGATACCCACTTGATGGCTTTGGGTAGAGAGAGACACTCAAACTACCAATTTCGTCTTGTTCAAGAACATGTATAACTCATGGACTCTGGCCAGAAATGGAACCATGAGTAAGGTTACAGTGTCCCACCCAACCTCCTCCCCCCCAAGAAAAAAAACACACGCACACACGCAAACCCCCTTAACTCCACCCATTCTTTCCCCACATAACTAATTATTTGTAAAACACTGAATCTTTCTTTTTTTTACCTTCAGGAACAAGCTGACAGAGAGTGAAGCCATGGCAATGGCCATTACGCGCCATGCGACATTGAAGTCTCGTTTGGCTTCACCCTCTGCTCAGGACAACACGACCTCTGTACTGGAGATGGCTAAGATGGATGTGGCTAAACAGAGACAAAAAGCACAGGTGGTATTACGAAATCCTTCTCTGTCCAAAGTCAAATGTGTTAGACCTGTTAAGCCTCGCGGAGGCAGCCTTCATTCAGCTATGAATGGAGTTAAACCTTCTAACATCCCTGTTAACTCAACTCGACCTCAGACTAAGTCTTTTCTTCAGACAAATGGTGGCAGGCTTAAACTTGTAACTCCGCGACTTCCTTGGAATACAGGCAATATTCAATCTAGGACAGATTCTGGGCTTTATAGTAGGTCAGCTCAGCGTGCCAGTGCTGTCGTTATAAAAGAGCCATGCCCTAAGCCTCGAAAACCTAGCAGTTTTTTAACTCCAGCAGACCGCGATAAACCGTTTAATAACTTGACATCTAACTTTGCAAACGGTGTGACGGCTAATGTTGTGTTGCGAAGACCCAAACAGAAATCTACTAATTCTGAAGTCACGGCTGTTAAGAGGAGGTCTCGCAGTCTAGAATCTCTGATTGGAAATAGTGACTCGATGGACAGGTACGTTACACCAACGCAGTGCTTCAAATGCAGGAAAGATCTGAGTCGTGTTTTTGACTCGAGTGCATCTAGCAGGTGTTCGGATGCTTACAGCTCTGCAAGTGATCTTAATTGTTCATTACCAGAACTTCACTATGACCAGAATAACAACATTATCCAACCTGTAGCAAATCAACCGATGTCGATTTCAAGAACAGAGGTGCTGAAAGCTGAAAAATTAGTTCAGCACCCACCGCCGGTAGATATTGTGTCAGACACAGAGTGTTACAAATATCACTTTGAAAGCGACAGCCAGACAGAAAGTGATTACGGTGCAGCTGTTGCCTCCGATAGCGAAGTCTACAGGTACAAGTCTAAAATAAAAGACAGAAGGAACTTGCATTTAGATTCTCCCATTCCCCATCTCTTACGGGAACACAGAACTGAGTCAGCCGGCAGTATAAGGGAACGCAAGATTCAACTCGAAGAAAACCTAGACTCGTTACTTGATTCAATGGCCTTTGCATTAGAAAATTATGAATCTCCAGGTAAGGCCAGTGAGTCAACTGGTAAAAATGGTGGCTGCCCTCCAGGGGACCTGTATTCACCTCCTGCTTTTTTCAGGCCAATATTCGAGGTCAAGATTTAAAGGTGTGGATGGAATACTCAACCCTTATAGTTGACCCAGCCATAAAAATTCTGCATAGTAATAGCTGAAATTTCTGTTAGTGTGAAGTAAGTTTTGCATCAGGGAATCATCCCTCAGTATTTATGGTTTATCTGAGGAGAAATAAAGGGGTGGCAAAAAGTAATTTTATGACTTTGTGATATGATGAGACTAACATCTTCTTTGTGAGTCTGCGACTTTACTGACCTATGAAAATAAAGATTATGAGACAGAATTGTGAAGACAAATTGAGACTGTGAGACCGGTAAAGGTTGACTAAAATTCTGAAAGATCTGTATTTTTTTAAGGATTATTTTGCCACCCCTAAGTTAGCTATTCTTCAGTCTTGCAAAACTTAGGCATAATGCGTAGCTACATTAAGTGCATGCGTAAATTTCTAATCAACATTACTGTATGAATCTGGAAAATTAAATTTTCACATACGTGTGTACACAGGAAGGTAGGAGAGAGGCATTCTACATAGTTAAATATTGACATCATCATTAGAATCCCATACTCTTGAAGAAAAGTAGCCAAAAAAATTAAATGAATTAAAATATGTCTGTATGTGATGTTGCCATTTTAAACCATTATTAAAAATTGAATGAGTGCTTCAGAGCCACAGAACATTTGAAATTATTGGGAATGAATTAATGAAAAAGAGAGTGAATCTCTCTTTTTTGAGGCATTGCTGAAATAAAGTTCCCAGTGAAATTTCTCTCAACAATTTTGCCATTGTATGAGAATATTGCTTTTCTCTGAGAAAATTTATTATAATTATAAGGACTGATATCAATTGATGGTCTGTATTTCAACTTGAAATAATTATAACCTAACCTGTAAATAAATAAATAGGTATGAAGATAAAGTAACAATATTTATTGACCTGAATTATTTAATAAATTAAAAAGTAATATCAAGAAATTTAGTCCAAACAGGCTATTAATTTTTTTTTTAATTAGGAAAGAAATAGCTTTGTCCGGAATTTTCTGTGTGAAAATAAAACAATTATGCAACAAATAATTTAGACTGTAGACAAAGTTAATAATAAAATGCCTTTCAGGTTGCTCATGGCACTAACATATTTATGAAGAAGATAAAGGGCTTCCTTTTTATTTTAGTATTTGGAGGCATTCCATTTGAAAAACTGTGCGATATAATCATTTATAATTTTCTTTAAACTAATAGTCTGTCTACTTAAAAAATTTACTTGGTAACTTATGAGACATGTAGCCTTTTAAGTCCTATTTCTAGATCAGTAAGAAGTAATCAAGTTTGTGAATTCTTCCAATCTGCTTGAGAATAATTATAATAGTAACCATGAGTGTAACCTTTTAATTTGACTCTCTTTATCTCAATCTTGCAAGCTAGTACACTGAAGCATTAACAGTGAATAACATAAAGACTTTATGAACTCCATACCAGGCTCTATGAACTGCATAAAGGCTTTCTATTGGTCTTTTAACAACTTTTTAAAAAAAATAAAATATATTTGAAACTATAACTTCTGTGTGTTCTCTCTTCATGCTCTACAACTTCTGATGCATTTTTACTGATCAGTTTTATTTGCTGATTTTTGAGTTGCTTTGTGCTGTTTCAATTTCTGCCACCCATTCCATGTTTGCTTTTTTGTTTTCTGAGCATGCAAGCCATTCACAATACTTTCTTTTTCCTCTCCACGGTTTTCCTTAAACATTTCGTTCCATGTTATGTTCCATTTACAAGTGTTCTTTTCAACTTTGCCATTATTAATTTGTCAACCAGTGTTGCGTGGTTTCTTTTCCAATCTTTTTGTTTGCTTAATTGTTTGTTGGCTGTCAAAGCTACACAGGGCCTCCACCATTTCCAGTGGCTAGAAACACAGGGTCCCATTCATGACAGGCAGCTGGCTACACAGCTTCCCCATCCATCATCAGTTGCTGGCCACACAGGGTACCATTCATTGCCATCAGGGGCTCGACAGACAGGGTTCCCTTTCACTGCCAGTGGCTAGCTACAATGGTTTTCCATTTATCTATTATCCCATCATCACCAGTGACTAGCTTCACAGGGTTCCATTCCTTACCAGTGGCTAGCTTCACAGGGTTCCATTCCTTACCAGTGGCTAGCTTTGCAGGGTTCCCATTCATTACCAGTGGCTAGCTTCACAGGGTCCCATTCATTACCAGGAGCAAGCTATGAGGGGTTCTCATTCATTACCAGTGGCCAGCTCCACATGGTTCCCATTCATTACCAGTGGCCAGCTTCACATGGTTCCCATTCATTACCAGTGGCCAGCTTCACATGGTTCCCATTCATTACCAGTGGCCAGCTATACAGGGTTCGCATTCATTGCCAGTGGCAAGCTATGTGGGGTTCCCATTCATTGCCAGTGGTAACCTATGTGAAGTTCCCATTCATTGCCGGTAGCAAGCTATGTAGGGTTCCCATTCATTGCCAGTTGCTAGCTACATTTATATAGGGTATGATCTCTCTCTATACATATATCATCTCTCTCTCTATACATATATGATCTCTCTCTCTCTCTTGTCAAATGCCAAACCGGCCAGTACATGCCGGTACATCAATGAAGGGGAGCTGTATTTGCAGGCTAGATTACTACAGTGGAACTTCCATGCAGGGGGCACCTTCAGGACAAGTGTCCCCTGAATAGAGGTGTCTTCTTCAATAGGGGTAACTGATACAAATATCATGTATCAAAAGTTTTTTGAATGAAGCTGTCCCCTGAAGAGAGGTGTCCTAACTTTAGGAGAGGTTTCACTTAGACTGCTGGCAGCCATTGTTCTCTCTTAGGATCCCTTAGACGAGTGTTTAGTGATCGCAAACACAAAAGGGCAATATGGTCGAGTAGGGAATGGGGAGCCCATGTCTTGTCCTTATGTGTCTTTAGGCTATTAAAGCATCTCACTTCAAAATCCCTGCTGAATTTTGAGAGAAAACAGACTGCCAGCAGTCTAGGTTTCACTGTATCTACTATGGCTGTTAGAATGGTTTTATAGTATTACACAAATTGTAGCTTTCAAATGGTATATTGTGTATGTGGTCTTTGGATCTATAATTACCAGTGTTCCCCACAGGAGTTAAATCAGGGAATAAGCAGGACTTTATGGTGTAAGGGGAATCTCTATACTGTGAGATATAGGATAGCCCCTTGACACCAGAATAATGGACTTTCTCATATAGTATTGTTGCACTTTGCTATTTTCTCTCCCCTTGCACTGACTCATTCATTTGGTTAAGAATCTGGTGAATAGTGGAGATCAATGAAACATACAATGGATATTATACTTGTTCACCCTCGAGCTTCCTCCCTGCAAATTAAACAAATGTGGCATGCTTTGGGCAGAAATAATTTAGAAGTTTCTATGTGAAACAAAATATGAGCAGAGTGACACCTTTCTTTGGGAAAAATGAGGGTGTGATTTTTGAAGTCATTTGTGTCATTGTGTCTAGCGGGTTTAGCTGCATTGTTGCAATGTAGTTATTATGTCATGAGCATGTCTCTCTGTTTGTCTGTCTGTCTTTCTGTCTACATTTCTGTATGATTGTGATTGTCCATCTATGTCTGTGTGTGTCCATCCATCTGTCTGTCTGTGTCTGTCTTTCTGCCTTCCTGTCTACCTGTCAATCATATCCATTCGTCTTTCACCATGGTCCTGTGGCAGTCACTGTGTAACCCAGGCATACTTTGTCTCTGATCTCTGTCTTGGATGTCTACTCTCTGTGCTGTGTCTCTACTGTCACTAATGTCCACTCAGATGTTTTTAATTTTGATACATTCATCGCTTGAGAACATTCGTCTACTAAATATAGCTTAATATCAAATTAACTGTGATGATTCTTCAGTTTATTTCTTCACGTGTCATGGAACACAAAGCAGTGGTCATCACATAGCTGATCTTCTTTTCTCTCTCTGCTGCCATCATCTTCATTAATCAAGCTGTACTTGGTAAGGTCTTGTATGCTTGTGTCTGTCTTCTCTTATAATTCATGAAATGTTTCTACTTAACCTGTCCAGATTTAACGCTTAGTACATTAAAGTTAAATACTTATCCTCTTTGAAAAATCTGTACTGACCATGAAATGTTTAAGTTTTATATCAAATGGCCTTTACTTTTAACATAAAATTTGGTGAATTGCTTGGCTTGCTCAACTTGATCAGTTAAATTCAAGTGAAGCATTAGCACGAGAGTTATGGTTTGCAATGTCCTGATATTATTGAATAACTTCAATTACATTTTACAATTTCTGGAAATGTTTTGTCGGCTAATTAAAATCAGAATTACTTGTTTTGTTTTAAATGTGCATTTAATAGTCCTGCTAATTTTCTTAGTGATATTCGTTAAAGATTGTAACATGAATTAAAATAAACTTCTATAGTTGTCAATCTGTAAAAGTAATTTGTGGTTCTGCAAACTCTTTTGTAAGCTGAAAAAGTTGGTCAATTATTTCTTTTATCCAATGTTTCACTGAAGAAAAGTAATTATGGACTTGGTATTTATAATACCTGTAACCTTAAAGAGATTTTCGACGAGTAGAAAATCCTGCTCTTGTCAATACAGGAATGCATTTATACATTTCGCCGGTAAAAGGTAAAAAGCTGTGAAAATTATTAAACGTTTTCGATCTGTTTGATCATCATCATAATTCTAACAGCTTTTTCCTTAAAGTTTTATAGGGGTGCATTTGATAGCTGCATTATAAAGTTCTCATAGGGAAAACAGATGTAGACCCAGTAGAGTACCTCGATGGTGTCAGATGTCACTCTTGGCTTGTTAGTGTAATCACTGCATTTGTACATATATACCGATCTATATCTAAGTATATTTTGTACAAAATATTTTGTACTTATGCCATTCCCAAGATGAGGAATTCTACTCTAAAGTTCACCTGAAAAACCGAAACTGCCATCACTGGTGAAATTCATTGTTGTTGTTGTTGTTTATGTTATTAACCAATGTTTAGCCATCTGTGGGCTTTCTTTTCCCTTAGCCTTTTATAGTGGACAGTGTTTTGTCTTTTCTTTCTGGTAAATTGTTACATTTGTTCATGGTGGTTTATTTTTGTTGTCCTTCAGAAATTGAATCATGAAGGTGAGGAGACAAAGGATCAGCCATGGGGTGAGCGTAGCAGTGATGAGAGTAGCACAGAGGAAGAAGATGAAGTAAGAACTAAGTGGATTACA